GTCCAGATTTAATCTGAGCTTTTTCCAACAGAGTCTTTCTCTTTGTCTGACATAAAGCTTTGATGGTGAAGAACAGACAACAGTTGCTGCTTGGAGGGTTCTTCAGTCTTCATGGTGTAGTTCTATCCAGGAGTACTGACCCACCAGTGACTGGACCTTCCAGTCTTCATACTACAACCACTGAGACTCATTCACTGACCTCAGATGATGCTTTTACTCACAGTGGGACTTCTAGCAAAAACATTTAAATTGGAAAACTCCCAGGAGGGCTGATTATTTCTACAAGCACAGTCGATACTGAGGAGAGGATCCTCTGCATCCCCACTCAGACCTCCTCCTGTGGGTTGAGGTTCTTCAGTCTGAATGCCGTCTAATAAAGACGTTCATCCAAAAATACGTCTGAGGATATATCTGTTTTGTCTGCTCTTGTTTCTGGACATGAGGAAGTGGAAACACTGAATACAGCCGTGAGTCACACAGTCAAGTGTTCATCACTTCAGAGCACAATACTTAACCTAAACCGGCCTGAAGCCACCCACTCATTTGGTGCTCTTTGTTCCCCGGAAGAAAGTGGAGTCGGCACAGCGTGAGTGTGTATAGTTTTATTGGTGCGATACAAGATAATACAAACCAAATATTCACTGTTTACACAAAACTTTAGAGGCTACAATCAGTTCAGAAAGCATTTAAATCCATAGAACCGTCTCAACACTGATCTGTCATGATGATCATATAACATAACGGCCGAACCAGGAAGAAACACGCACACGAGCAGAATCACATACAAACACGTGACGGCATGTTCACGCACACCGACAGCCCTGAAGGACGCGTGACATAAAAAAGCTGTAGAAAAATACTCTTAAAAAACCAAACACACAAAACAGCAGCAGCAGCAGCAGCAGCAGCCACTTGGAATGTTCTGGATGTCAGTTAGACATAAAAGCTCCACGGGGCAGTTCGTTGGGCAACTCTTCCTCAAGTAATCTGCCTTTTCATTTTTCAGGTGACTGGTAGAAACCTACAGAACCGGTGTTGAGACGGAGACAGACGTTGACGTGATTCTGGAGACATACAACAAAGTGTGGGTTATGAGGCCAAACGTTGCACTTTATGGCATTCATTTGATCAACTAAACGTGGATTTGTCTGGTTTTGGTGGTGAAGCTGCCTGAGGAGGGATGACTGAGTGCCTGCAGCTGAACCAGGGCCACGGAAACTGGATTTAAACGCTTCAAACCTGTTCAGAGATGCTGGACATACTGTGTCATTTATCAGTTTGGGCCAGAAATGATTGAAGTGGAATAATATCGATTAAAAAATGTTCTGGTTCCACATGTGATGCACTCTTCCAGAGGGAGATATCTGCATTATTACAAACCAACAGCAACTCTTAGAAACTCGAGTCTCACATATGTGAGCTACTAACAATTCTGCATCCAGAAAACAAACTGTAGATGCTGGCGTCCACACACCAGGGGGCGCTGCTGCACAGCAGGAGGTTAAACATACGTTAATAAAGATTTTCTGTTATTTTGTGCAAATTAATTTGTAATTTGTGCCTCTTTTATCTACCCAAACCAAAAGGAGTGCAGAGATTAGCGTCAGCTTTAAACATACATGTGGCCACCTGACAGGTGTGTCACCGGTGCTGTCCTGGTGGTCACTTGCGGTATTACAACAACATCCTAATGGCTGTTATAACAGAGACGGTTGTAACTCAGCTGACAAAACAACAACCAAGAGGACGCATTCCACGACTGTCCATGACTCAAAGTATTATTGAGGGTAAAACTGCATACAGAAGGCTGACAGGCTGCTACCTGG